TTCATGAATGTTTTCATCAAGAAAGCAACGTTTTGGGGGGCTGAAGATCAGTACCTGAAAACAATTCCGTTTTGATAATGCAAATACAACAGCAGTATGGAAAAAAGTACACTTCTCTGCAAGGAGAGAACAAAATTTCCCATTTTAATGGGGATATATAAAACTTATTATGACTTCCGAGGCCGTCCTCTCTTACCGATTTTCCCCGAAGTGGATTGCACGCTTTTACTAGAAGAAGGTGGGCGGCCCCTTCCACGCCCACTACCTTTTCCCCGTGGCGTTTTACCACGACCCCTGACACGCTGCCTCTTCTGCTCAGCCTGCCCATTGGACTGTTCTTCACTACTGTCAGTCGCCACGTCACTACTCTCATCGTCCTCTTCATCTTCTGAATCAGAGACCTTCTTTGACTTCTTCCGCTTCTTTGTGTAACTGGATGCCTTAGTACCACCTTTTCTATTATTTTGCTTAGAAATTGGACTATTGCTCACTGGTTCCTCGCTCCCTGCTGGGAAAGTAATTTCTATGTTAGTTACAACTTAATGTTTAAAACCCATGAACTTGTGGATGAATTGGTAAATGATTTTTTTAATTTAATTAGAAATTTTAATCTTAAATTTTGGTAATGCATTTTCGATAAAACTTTTGAAAAAAAATTTTATTGTTCGTTAAGTTATATTTGACTTAAATTTATATTAATTGATAATTTAATAAATTTTTTTAAATATCAAATGATTCATACAAAATAAAAAAAACCACCTAATGTGTAAATCAATGATTATATTCAACAGTAAACGCTATAACCCCATTGACATACCTTCATCGGTAGGTTTGCCGTCATAAATGTCAAGCTGTCAAAAACACAAAACATTAAGACACATTTATTCAGAAATAATAACTACATCAAACCAGACCAAAACTATCTATCCTTGAGGAGCATAAAAGACAAATCTCTGCACCCATTCTAAGGCCAGGATTGAAGAGAGGAGACATAATTAAAGCTTTATGAATTTGACAAGACAAGACAGAGAGAGAGGGGAATCAAAACTTTCTGAAAATAAAAATTTTGTAAATCCAAGTACAGAGCAATGAAAATGAAAATCTAAACAGTAGTTTCTTAATCCATAAATAGCTTTGGACTGGTGATGCCAAGCGTATGCCATTACTAAAGCCCATGTCAATCTCTCATTCAAGAAGCACAAAATCACAAACTCATAAAACCCCTTTCTGACTAAATGAATCACAGTCAAACTTACGTTGCCAAAGACCAAACTAATCCAGTTAGTCAACACCAGTGGTACCACAAGCTAGGTACAACTGATGAAGGAAGTGCCATATAGAAACCACAGGGAACACAATTTTTAATACCAGGAGATTATTCAACTTTCACTTTTAGGAAGTTACCTGTTCAAGTCAATATATTTTGCAAGGAAAAAAAAGAAGAAACATGTTAATTAAATTGTAGCTACAACTTAGGTGAAAACCTAACAAGGTTATGGCTTAGTTTGACAATACTACCTATACAGTACCATTCACATATATTTACAAATTTTTTTATAATTTATACATTTAGTAAATTATCTATCTTTATTTTTTAGAAAGAAATACAAAAGTCATCTTATCTAAAATTAATAAAATTCTTAA